CGACAGTGCGGCGCTAACTCAGTACTGACCCTCCAACAATGCAGCACTCCCGCAGTACCGACCCTCTGACAGTGTGGCACTCCCTCAGCACTGATCCCCCAACAGTGCGGCACTCCCATAGAACTGACTCTCTGGCCGTGCGGCATTCCTTCAGCACTGACCCTCTGACAGTGTGGCAGTCCCTCAGTACTGACCCTCTGACAGTGTGGCACTCATTCCGTACTGACCCTCCGACAGTGCAGCATTCCTTCAGTAATGACCCTACAACAGTGCAGCACTCCCTCAGTACTGCCCCTCCAACAGCCTTCAGCATGGACTGTCCTACAGTGTGGCGCTCCCTCAGCACTCAGCATCCGACAGTGCGGCACTCTCTCAGCACTGACCCTCCAACAGTGCAGCACTCCCTCAGCACTGACCCTCCGACAGTGCAGCACTCCCTCAGCACTGACCCTCCGACAGTGCGGCGCTCCCTCAGCACTGACCCTCTGACAGTGTGGCACTCTCTCATTGCTGACCCTGCAAAAGTGCAGCACTCCCTCAGCACTGAACCTCCGACAGTGTGGTGCTCCCTCAGTAATGACCCTCCGACAGTGTGGCACTCACTCAGTACTGACCCTCCAATAGTGCGGCACTCCCTCAGTGCTCATCCTCTGACAGTGCGGCACTTCCTCCGCACTGACACTCTGACTGTGCAGCACTGCCTCAGTACAGCCCCTCTGACAGTGCGGCACTCTCTGACTACTACAATAGAGGGTCTGCTCCTGAGACCTTCTGTCGTCTGGAAAAACTGCACAATGGTGTCATGGTGCTACTGCTTACTGAGTATAAATAGAATGACATGGGCCAAATTACAACAATCCTGAACAAGTTTGGGTCTTGACAGCACTTGGAAATGAACTCCTGAAGACGATTCTCAGGTTAAGGCCTGGTGTATTCAGGATCACGCTATGAAACAATATGTAGGATCAATTGTAATTAATTTTATTGATGGCTGAAACAGGTTGAACCCAGAATGCCTTCAAAGCACAGAATACAGGAAAGATTGTGAAGCTTGAAAGGGTTCAGAAAAGATTCACAAGGATGGTTGGATGTTTTGAACTGTGGGGAGAGGCTGAATAGGCTGGGGCTATTTTCCCTGGAGCATTGGAGGCTGAGAGGTGACCTTATAGACATTTATAAAATCATGAGGGACATGGTCGGATGAATAGGTTTGGTCTTTTTCCCAGGGTATGGGAGTCCAAAACTGAACGACATATGTTTAAGATGATAGAGGAAAGAACTGTAAGGGGCCTGAGTGGCAACTTTTTCACACAGAGGGTGGTGCATGTATGGAACGATCTGCCAGAGGAAGTGGTGGAGGCTGGCACAATTACAACATTTTAAAGGTATCTGGATGGGTATATGAATAGGAAGGGTTTGGAGGGATATGTGTCAAATGCTGGCAAATGGGACTAGATTAATTTAGGATATCTTGTCAGCTTAACAAGTTGGACTGACGAGTCTGTTTCCGTGCTGTACATCACTACGACTCTAATTCAACACTGCCTGGATTAATTTGCACAGACCCCCCCAGAACCTGCATCAACAGAAGTGAGGGAGTGGGAGAGGATCAAGGGTGAGCCCAGTGCACTCTCCTGACTCTTAGGCTGCTGATTATCGTTTATTTTATTGTTACGATGTGCTACTCAAATATATAAAGCAGCTCGTAAAAGAGACAAATGCACATTAATTCATCATAAAAGTTGGTGTACCTGCTTTATGAGTGCCATACCAGATACACTGAAATGCAGGTGGTAAATATTTACTATCCGGCACAGCATTGAGTGTGATCACTTGGCATTATCAATTAAACTGCAATAGTTTCCCCTTGGAGGAAGATGTTGTGAAACTTGAAAGCGTTCAGAAAAAAATTATGAGGATGTTGTCATGGTTGGAGGGTTTGAGCTATAGGGAGAATCTGAGTAGGCTGGGGCTATATTCCCTGGAGCGTTGGAGGCTGAGGGGTGACCTCATCAAGGTTTGAAGGGAAAGATTTAAAAGTGACCGAAGGGGCAACCTTTTCACACACAGGGTGGTGCAATTATGGAATGAACTGCCAGAATTAGAACATTTAAAAGGCATCTGGACAGAAATGTGAATAGGAAGGATTTAGAGGGATACGAGGGGAAGGAGAATTTGTTTTTTGACCCAGCGAGTTGCTGTTGTGAGCTGGGATCTCTGTTTCAAAGGGAATAGATTCAACAGGAACTTTCAAAAGCAAATAAGGGCTATCTGGAAAGGGGAAATTTGTGGGGCTGGGTAGTCAAGAAGTGGTGGTGGGGTGCTTTCAAAGGGCCAGTACAGGTCTGATAGGCTGAATGGCCAATATGAGTTGCTTGGAGCATAGTTGTCGAGGCTAGATCATTGGAAATGGAAACAGGAGTAGGCCATTTGGCCCCTCAAGCCTGCTCCACCATTCAATAGGATCATGGCTGATCCAACATTCCTCACGTCTACTTTCCTGATCGAGAATCTATCTCAGCCCTAAATATGCATAAGGAGTCTGCCACCACAGCTCTCTGTGGAAGACTCACAACCCTCACAGAGAAGACATTCTTCCTCATCTCAGTCTTAAACTGGTGCCCCTTTACTCTGAGACTATCCCTTCTCCTCCAAGATTCTCCCAGCAGCTGGAACACCCTCTCAGCATTTACCCTGTCAAGCCCTTTAAGAATCTGCTTTGTTTCATTGAGATAACCTCTCCTTCTTCTGAACTTTATTGAATAGAGCTCCAGAGACAATCCCTCCATACTGGTGATCATCCTCATGAACCTTCTCTGAACTGCCTCCAATGAAATGATATTTTTCCTGAAATAAGGGGACCAAAACGCATCAGAGTACTCCAGATGTGGTCTCACCAGCACCTTGTCCAGTTGCAATAAAACTTCCCGACTCTCATATTCCAACCCCCTTGAAATAAGGGCCAACGTTCCACTTCTTTTCATATCCAGAACTGCTCTTAACTGAACGTTTTACTTTCCCATTACCAAACCACTCTTGATTTTTTTTATCTATTAACCATCAACTGTGTTTTCCAATCAATTAGTTTAAAGGCAACGTTCCATTCGGCTTCGTGACTACCTGCTGCCCCTGTATGCGAGCTTTCTGTGCTTTGGGCACAGGTTCGCCCAAGTCACTTTCGTGTTGCAGCTTTCTGCTGGTTGTGAGTACCGTGCCTGCGTCAAGGTTATCATTTACTGGCCGCTCCTGTTTGCCCAGAGGGTTGGGTGTAAGATAACATCGTGTCACTTCTGGCACCTTGAGACAGAACCGGTGTCTCTGAGGACAGTCATGCCCCGTCTCGAGTGTGTGCATCTGCCAAACAGCACCTGGCTGAGGACTGATCATCAGCACAAAGGTATGGCTAAGGCATTCACAACAATTGAGTACAGGAGTTGAGGGGTCACGTTGCGGCTGTACACTACGTTGGTTAGGCCATTTTTGGAATATTGCATTCAATTCTGGTCCCCCTTATATAGGAAAGATGTTGTTAAACTTGAAAGGATTCAGAAAAGATTTACAAGGATGTTGCCAGGGTTAGTTTCAGCTTTAGGGAGAGGTTGACTAGGTTGAGGTCATTTTCTCTAAAGAGTCAGAGGCTGAGGAGTGACCTGAAAGAGGTTTATAAAATCGTGAGTGGCATGGACAGGGTGAATAGTCAGGCTTTTTCTCCAGGGTGGGGAAGCCCAAAACTAGAAGGCATAGGTTTACGTGAGAGGGGAAGATTTAAAAGGGGCCTGAGGGCAACTTCTTCACACAGAGGGTGGTGCATGTACAGAATGAGCTGCCAAAGGAAGTGGTGGGTACTGGCACAATTACAACATTTGAAAGGCACCTGGGTAAGTACATGAACAGGAAAGGCTTGGAGGGATGTGAGCTAAATGTTGGCAAATGGGATTAGATGAATTTAGAATATCTGGTCAGCATGGACGAATTGCCCGAAGGGTCTGTTTCTGTGCTGTACAATTCTATGACTGTATGCCACACTGTCAGAGGGTCAGCACTGAAGGAGTGCCTCACTGTCAGAGAGTCAGTATTGAGGAAGTGCTGCACTGTTGGAGGGTCAGTGCTGAGGGAGCGCCGTACTGTCGGTGGATCGGTGCTGAGAGAGTGCCGCATTGTCAGAGGGTCAGTGCTGAGGGAGTGCCACACTGTCAGAGGGCCAGTACTGAGGGAGCCCCACACTATCGGAGGGTCAAAACAGAGGGAGCACTGCACTGTCGGAGGGTCAGTACTGAAGGATTGCAGCACTGTCGGATGGTCAGTACTGAGTGAGTGCTGCTCTGTCAGTGGATCAATACTGAGGTAGCACTGCATTGTACTAGTTATATTGACCCTCCGACAGTGTAAGTTTATCACTTCTGACCATAGGATGGCATGACCCTGGATAATGTAGTTGAGGTGTGGGGAGTGTGGAGTTGAATGCACGAATTGCTGACTCATGTCTCAGGACAGAGAGGGAGACCAGTAGCAGCAGCTTGGCAGGTGAGCCCCAAAATCAATGAGGAGTAATTAATTGTGGATACGGGAATAGATGAATTGAAGGAGAGAGGCTGGAGTACAGAGATATAGAGCTTTGGGTTTCTGCTAAAGAGGGCATTGGTGTAGGGAGTGAATTCTGAAACACTCTTCCACCACCTGGATTCATCTCTGTTTTCACTATGATGTTTCCCAAATGTAGCAATAGAACTGAATGACGTGTATGAATCGCCCGGGGTGTATCCATAAAGCATCTGCTGAGAATTGAGAGAGGGTTAAGATCAGAGACAGAGACACTGCATCCTGGAGTAAATGTGTTTACACAAACACTGCAGTCAGCTTTATAGTGTTGACACTCCCTCCCACCAACATAAGCAGGACCTGACTTGAGCCACTTTTAAGCAAAGTCATCACTGGGTCCGCGATACGTCAATGTTCCACCTTTTAAACAGAGACTAGGAAATGATCATTCCCAATCTATTCGGACAACCGTCAAAGGTGCTACACTGGAGACGCGGGCAAACATGAGGGATGAGACATCACGATGACATTGAGAAACCATCAGGTAAAAAAAAATTTCCCTCGGAGCGGGGAAGGTTAATGGGGAAATTGAGTCGAGCCATTCAGAATTACCGGGGGTGGGAGGTTTCCATTGAGTCGATGAGGGTCAGTCAACAGAGGGAGATTGGTTAGAGAGAGGACCTTTGACCCAGCGAGTTATTGCAATCTGCCTGAAAGGGAACAAATTCAACAGAAACTTTCAAAGGAGGGAGAGAATCGGAGCAATAGAGGATATTTCAGGACAGTGGGGAAAAGAGCAGGGGTAGGGAGAGTGGGAACCATTTGGACAGCCAGTACTGGCTCATGAGCAGAATGGCCAAAAACCCCACCCCCCACCCATGCATAGCACAGTTCTAACACAGGTATCTGGCACCGAAGGACAAAAGGAGTAGATTTGTCAGTGGCGATCATGTTTAGGCTGTCATGCTTCATTGTAAAATTTCAGTTGAGTGAATCTCATACCAGAAGCTCAGGTACAAAGTTTAAAATCCCGCAATCACATTATCTGTCCGTTAGGTTTGATCATTCCACTGACTAGCATCGAACTCAAAGACAAGTCTGGGGCTGTTTTCTCTCAAAAAGACGAAGCTGAGGAGTAACCTGATTGAGGTCTTTGAAAGGGATTTTGATCAGGGAGACATAGAGAGGATGTTTCCACTTGTGGTGGGAAGGGTTGGGGGAGACACAGAACGAGAAGCCACCAATAGAAGATAGTCCTGAATAAATGCAATGGGGAATTCAGGACAAATGTCTTCCCCTCCATAGAGTGGGTGGGGGTGGAGGCGAATGTAGGACTTGCTGCCACAGGGAGTAGGAGGGGGAAATGTGTGATTCCTCCCACAGGGAGTGGAGGGAATGTGCGACTCCCTCCCACAGGGAATTGGGGTTGGGGAATGTGGGTCTCCCTCCCATAGGCAGTGTGGGGGGCATGTGGGACTTGATCCCACAGGGAGTGGGAGGGAGGGCAGAATCTGGGACTCGGTCCAACAGAGAGTGGTCTCGATCAATTGTTGATATATTGAAGGGGGAAATTGGATAAACACATACGGGAGAGATGGTGATGGGGAGAGATGATGCGAGGGAGTGGGAGAAGGTTAGCGTGGGGCATAAACATCAGTAAGGAGCAGAGTAGCCAAATGGCCTGATTATGCACTGAACATAAATCATGTGCGCCGTCACTGGCTCAATATCTTGGAATACCCATCCAGCAGCACTGCGGGTGCCGATACACATGGATATGGCACACAGCACATGGTCTGCAGCATTTCAAGAAAGCAGCTCACCACCACTTTGTCAAGGGGGCAACTAGGGACAGGATAATAAATGCTGGACCCAGCCAGTAGCACCCACACCCCATAAATGAGTTGAAATAAATCGTCCTAATCTCGCTAACACTGCTTATTGCTGCAAATAATGCTATTGATGAATAATTTAATAATTATGTGTCTAATCCAGGGAAACCTGGTTGGCAAGTTTTGTTGTGAACAAGGAAAAGAATGTTCAGATCAGAGCTGGGCCGTTGCGGGGGTGAGTATCAAGAAGCTGTTCCTTATCCACCCAGGGGAGTGGGATTTCTGAAACCCACTCCCCCATCCCAACGACAACATAAAGAAAGCAGTTAAGACCAAGAAGGGCCGGCTGGAATTTTCATGTGTTTATCCAATGTTCCCCCCTTCAATACATCAACAATTCACTGATGCCACTGCCTGTGGGAGCGAGACCCACATTCTCCCACCCCCTACTCCCTGTGAGAGTGAGTCCCACATTCCACATCAGGACTGATGTGGAGTTTAAGTGGGTTCAGGGTCATGAAACCAAGAAGAATAGATGGAGTTAAGATTCAGACACCATCCAATGGAAAGACAGAACAGCTCAAGGGGCTGAATGGCCTCCATAAAACGTAGCAGAAGTTTTTTGCCCATCAAGTCTGCTCTACCATTCAAGGAGATCATGGCTGATCTGAAAATCCAATTTCCTGCCTTTTCCCTACAACCCTCGATCCCCTTTACCAATTAAAAGTCTGTCTGCCTCAGCTTTGAATTTACATAATGACCCAACCTCCACGGCCCTCTGCATTAAGAATTCCACAGATTAACACCCCTCTGAGGGAAGGAATTCCTTCTCTTCGCTGTCTCAAATGTGTGACTGCTTATTCTGAGGTAATGCCCCCGGCCCTAGACGCTCCCATAAAGGGGAAACAACCTCTCCAAAGCTACTCTATCAAGTCCCCTCAGAATCGTGTATGTTTCAATGAGGTCATCTCTCATTCTTCTAAACGCCAAGTTCCAATCTGCTCAACCCATCGTCATAAGACAGTCCCTCCTTACCTGGGATCCTTCTCTGAATTGCCTCTGATGTCACAAGATCTTTCCTTCAACAAATTGACCAAAACTGCTTGCAGGATTCCAGCTGATTAGTATCTTGTATAAGAAAAACTGCCCCGTTTTTATACTTCCCAAATCCTTCAATGCTGCAGCTTTCCTGCCAACCTCCTCCTTTTCCTATGTAACAGACTTGAGGAGGGGCTGAATGGCCTCCTTGTATTCCTGTGTAACAGACTTGAGAAGGGGGCTGAATGGCCTGCTGTGCCTGTGTAACAGGTTCAAGGAGGGGTCTGAATGGCCTCCTCCTGTTCCAGTGTAACAAGCTCAAGGAGGGGGCTGAATGGCCTCCTCCTGTTCATGTATAACAGGTTTGAGGTGGGGGTGCTGAATGGCCTCCTGTGCCTTGTAACAGTTTCAAGGAATGCCCTCCTCCTGTTGCTGAGTAACAGACTCCAGGAGTGGGCTGAATAGCCTCCTCTTATTCCTGTGTAACAAATTCAAAGGGAGCTGAATGGCCTCCTCCTGTTCCTGGGTAACAGGCTCAAGGTGGGGGCTGAATGGCCTCCTACCATTTCTGTGCTTATAAAACTGTTTTGACAGGGTTATTTATGATCCATATAGATCTCTTTATCACTTAATGCTTAACTTGAAATGGTTGTGGATTTTTCTGGAAGTTCAATTAAGATTAGGGCATTGTGCCTCAGTATGACTTTATGCAATATTGTCATTATGACCAACCTTTGGTGATGTTTACCTTTGAATTCTGTCGTCACTGTGTAGTGAAGTCTCTTGAATTAAATGTTCCTGACAACATATATTGATGTTTCAGCAAGTTACAGCTAGTTACAGCCAGTTGTAAATTCATTGTATATTTGGCCAATCAGTTAGAGGCATTGCAGGACTTAGGGCTACCTGCTCTACCTGCTCAGTGTACAGTGCACGCTTCAGGAGCGCACAACAGCAAACTAATACAAAGTCTATTTAGACATGACACTACATCAAACAGTCTACAGAATCTATCCGAATAATGTTGTATATCAGTCTACAAAATCTATGTAATAATATCATACATCAGTTTCCAGAATCTGCCTAAACAGCAAACAGTAGTAAACAGTTCACAGAGTCGATTTAATCAGTATACCATCCATTTAAACATATTTAAACAGTCTACAGGGACTATTTAATCAGTACATTGCATCAGTGCAGCATACCGTCTACAGAATGTATTTAAACAGTACACTGCTGTACACAGTCTGCAGAGACTATCTAAACAGCACATTGTGCCAGTCTACAGAGTCTATTTAATCAGTGCATTGCAGCAAACTATCCATAGGGTTTATTTAGACACACACTGCAGCAGTCTGTGTGGCACTGTGCTTGTGTACTACATACATTCACAAAAGCAAGATTATTTTTCCAGAAATTGTAGTGATGGAAGGATTGAACCATAAAACAAAGTGGAGTAAAATTACTCCAGTCACTTACAGCAGGACAGTTTCCAGGGAAGATTGAAGAGGCAATAAGACAACTGTTTGGGAAGCAGGCAAGTTATGGACAAACCTTCATAACAGCAAGTTCACATTTGTGTAGGACCCTTACATTGTAACAAATCCATAAGGCTTCCACATGAACATCAATCTGACCCCATGACACATCAAGAGATTTCAGGGTCAAGCAACCAAAAGCTCCATCAAAGACATTTTTTTTTGAGGAGCATTTCAAGGGAGAAGCCAGGGAGATGTAAAGAGGCTTCGGGAGGGGATTCTGGAGTTCAGGATACCAGGCAGCTGGAGACACGGCCCCTAATGGCAGAGCGATGGGAATCGTGGGGAGTGCTAGAGAGGTCAGGAATGGAGGAGGTTACAGAGATTGAGAGGGGTGCAGGTGCTGGAGGAGGTTACAGAGATAGGGAGGTGTGTAGAAGCTAGGGGAG